GAGAGAGAGAGAGAGAGAGAGAGAGAGAGAGAGAGAGAGAGAGAGAGGTGAACGTATGTGAACTTGAACATATGAAGAGACAGACAGACAGGTAACATGGAGAGAGGGAGAACACGGTGGGAGGTGAGTGGAGCTCAGATCCAACCCTCTGGCTAATGTCAAGGCCAGTTGCAGTGCATCTTTCTTTAAACATACACACACACACACACACACACACACTATGTGTAGCTCCCTTAGGCTAACACATTTAGTTTCTCTGAATACGATATTAAAGCGACTCAGCAGAGAGAATCAAGCTTAAACAAAGAGGAACTGGAATCTGACTAAACAACCACCAAACTGGAGCTTCAGGAGCAGCTACCAGACCCTGAGTTTGAAAAAATATACACTGGTTTTGGCATCATGTGTGATAATACAGACTTATTTTTCCTGTTTTCGCCTCAAAAGATTGAGACCAGGCTGTTAGTATTTCATGGATGCACGGTAACAAAAGAACTCCAATCCAGGACGGGGGACATGTTCTACATTGGGAGGGAGGTTTCAGTGAAAGTATATTTCTAGTCAAGATACATAAATTCCTAAGCGTATTGCACTAATAACTTACTGCAGAAAAATAGACCGAACACAATCATTGGTGTCTCATAACTTAAACATTGGTTCAAAGGAAGGAAACATTTCAAAACTCTGGGTTGACATTAGATGAAGTCGTGAGGAGCAAATGCAGTGATTTCTTAAATCGGCAACTAGTGAACATTACAGGAACTGCAGCTGAATCAAGTTAAGTTGCATCATGTCATGTCCTGTTGTGTTGAGTTTGGAATTTTGGCCGTCGCCATCTTCGTTTTTTGCAACCAGAGGTGACATGAGATGGTGGAATTAAGTCCAACTGAACAAAATGTTGAAATGAACTCCCAAAACAACTGCGTGGTAGCAACCTGTCAATCACAGAGTAGCCGTGCCCTAAAGCATACCCTATTTCAGTGATTTTCCACCACTGTGCTGCAACACACCAGTGTGCCGTGGGAAAATGTCCAATTTCACTTCATCGGTCCAAAATAATATAATTTAGTTGCTGCAAATAATTTGCCATTGTTGAGTGTCTGAGCTACAATATAGTGGCTGGCTGAGTAATAAATACTCTTCCATGCCAGTGGGTGGCAGTAGGTAGTGCAGTAATGACCTTGTTAATTTAAGACAGCAGAATTAAATCATATGGAGGAGGTTGCGATGACAAGACGAACAGCGATGGAGAAATATTTGAAAAGGAAAAATGCAGACTCTGAACTGGGCCCTGGACAAAATTTGAACCCAGATGAAAAGTCTCGTATGAGTGGTGGTCAACGGAAAGAAAAAACGGTGAGCTCGAGGCAATACAGTGAAAGTTATCTTTCGCTTTGATTTACTTTCACCGGGGATCCGACTGCACCGACTCCGTTATGCTTGATGTGTGGAGAAAAGCTATCCAACAGTGCCATGGTCCCAAGCAAGCTTAAACGTCATCTCCAAACGAAACACCCGTCACTTCAAAACAAAACCTGGTGTGCTGTGGGATCCTTTTAATGTAAAAAATGTACCGTGGCTCAGAAAAGGTTGAGAAACACTGCCCTATTTGACTCTAAATGGACCATAATTTGCTAAATGAACAACATGCTGTATTGAAGAAGACTTGAAACTAGAGATTAAGACTTTCTCATAGACTTCTATACAATCGCTCGCCCCCTACTGGCAATTAGAAAGAATGCAAATTTAAGGCACTTCTCCATTGTCATCACTTTTCAGAACCCACGGGTTGCGGCCTGGACACATGAGTTCATGTCACGTCATGTCTCCTGTAATGTCATGTGACTTCTGTTCACGTCACATTATACAGGCTATTCCCATCCAGCGTTCGTAGCTATACCTGCGACGAATAATGTAGTAGTGTAAGTATTTCACGATCTTTTTCTAAACCTGACAAAGTGTCTTTTTGTTGCCTAAACCTAAGTAAGTTGTTTCTTTAGAAGATTGAAGTTTGTTTTGAAAAGACTGTATGCATGTAAAGAGCAGAAATTGACATGTGTTGCTGGCTTTCAAAGGAAAACGAACACACAACGAGAGGTAACTTTTCGTGAGAAAAAGAGATCATACGAACTGTTGTATGAGGATATGTTGCATTATAACATAACAACAAACAACAACATCTGGGGATGATGTAACCTTTGCTTTGTGAAATAATCGTCTGTACTCACTGGACTGCGACATCATGGAGGTGTACACCTTGGGGTCGATGGTGCTCATCGGCGGTGGCAGCAGCGGGTTGGTGAAGCTCCGGAGCGGGTGGGTAGGTCGAACACAGGCCGTTGGAATGGTGCGACCGCCGCCGGCCTGGGCCTCCTCAGCAGCAACCGCGGCGACAGCAGTAGGGGCCCCCGGGATGGGGCCCGGGATGTGGTCCCCGGGCGGTGCTGAGGAGCCGGGGAGAAGCGGAGGGGCCTGCTGGGTTTGGGGCTGCTGCTGGAGGAGAGGATTGATGGAGGAGTCCGAAGGCATTGCTGAGGAGGAGATGAAGGGATGAAGGGCAGGGGGTAACGGAGTGAAAGGGATCGAGGATAAAAAGAGAGTTGAGATGTCACAAGGGAGACACAAAAGACAAAACATCCAATAACTGTAAAGAGTGAACAGGCATTTGGAGAAAAGAGAAAAACACAGAATATGTATCAAAACAAACAAACAGCAGAATTTCAAATGTGTGAATATTTTTGCCTCAACATCCTAAAGCACTTCTGTGATTTCTCATAGACAGCTTCTGCTTTGATGTAGGCAGTAATATGGCACTATTGTGAAAATCCCTGTTGCTGCAGGAAGGCCGTGGGGCCGAGAGTGTTTCTGAATGTAAATGTAGTCTGCAGGACCTTCTGCTCCATGTTTCAAGACCTATGAGGCTTCCACATGTGTTTAATCCCCAGTAGATATAGGTGATAGATACATACATGCTACAGTCTGTCATTTACATACTGAAAGGCTCACGGATCTTAGTAACTTTATCCAAGCCATCGATCTCTTCCTCGCGAGCAAAGAAACCCCGAGCTCTGCCAGGTTTGCACTTTTGTTCTCGTTGAGTGTGGAGTTTCTCGCTAGCGTTTTTGCATTTGGCTGAATGTTTTCCCACTGAGAGAAATCCCATATTTCTATCTCGTCGGAGATACACGTGTGACGGAGAGAGGAGGAACAAGAAGAATCCAGCTGAAGGAGAAGGGGGGGAGTAAATCCTGACTGTGTGGAGGAACATGCCCTCGGAGGTGACATGTGGGAGATGAAACTCCTCGTGCAGCCACAGCCAGTGGGATCAGAGCGACCACGGGAGAGAGAAGACGGCCGTTAACATAACCCGTTACATGTGGACTCGCTGTGTGCGTTCATTAAGCGGCCGAGATAAGAGGAAGAGACGAGAGGAAGAGCGGAGAGAGAAACACTGCCCATGGTAGAGGAAAGAGTATGGGAGAGAGACCAGAGAGTTTTGTTTGTTTTATTTCACAGAAGAATGCTCTCTTTTTTTGTTTGTTATCTCAACTCATCAGGAAAGTGTGAACCAAATGTAATTAAGAACGGTGGCCCTGAGAGCTGAACCACAATGTACATTATGAAAACAACACGAGCAAATGAAGAAACATCTTGTCCAATTTAACGGCATGTGCAGCATTCAGAAAAAGAGGTGAGAGCAGCTCACAACAGAACGTAGACTGTTTACAGGGGACACAGAAGAGTGATGCATACGGCTGGGACACGTTCTATGCTGCTCTTTGAAGGTGATGAAGTTATTGAAGTCCGTCAGTGGAAAAGTGCAAAATCCTTCAGGGAATTTCTTCAAATTTGGCGTCCACCTGATTTCAAGGATGAATTGATTTGATTTTAGAGCTCTCAGGGTTACCGTAGCTAAGAACCAAAGGCAAGAAAATTCCCCAAGATTTTGCAGAAAAAAAGAATCAGGATGTACTGTGGCCGACAAAGGCCATGAACATTTCCAGTAGAGGAAACGTGCTGCGGCTTCAGAAGTGATAGCCAATTTAAAGACGCATTCAGAAATCCAAAAGAAAAAAACAAAAACAAAAACACGCTGAAAATACAGTAAAGATGCAAAGTCAAAAACAAACAAACCGTACCTTTAGATACCTATTCATTTGTCGCTTATCTTTTACAAAATTGAGCAACATATTTACGTAACTTTTGTAAAAGGTCTCTAAATCGCGCTTCAAAAAGGCCAAGTGTTGACAATGACTCACAAACTTCTTCCTACAGCAATCGACCAATCAGAGCTTTGTAGGTAGGATCAAGAATGGTCTATCACGTAAAACAGCGAATGAAACGGCCACTAAAGTGACGACAAAAATGGAGGTTATGTATGTAATCTTCTTTCGTTAACAGCCAGATTAGTAAGATTAAATAATGGTGGTAAAGTCATCGTCCCCTGTACAGCATTGCAGACGTTGTGTCTAGCTACATTATGAAAAAACGGCAGTGAAACAAATGTCCCAGAAACTGGTGACAAGCCATGCAGATGAGACAGACACAACCTTGTTCATCTTGTTGTAAGTCGACTTTCAGAAATAATAACTCTTATTATTATAATAACTCTTACATCGACACATTTCTCTAAACTTTGTGAAAAAATGTCGCTCCTAGCAAACCCCGCCGCAGCTTCCGTGTTGACCGCCAATTGAAACATCCCACTAAACATATCAAAATTCTATATGGGAATTCATTCTGATTCCCAGGCTAACATATTACAATATACTCAACAAATAACCACACAGAATAGCAGAGAAGAACCACAATCACTGGAACTAACCCGATATCACCCCTCTGCTCGGCACGCAACACTTCCCCTTCGCTAATCCACCACTTGTGTCACAGCGGTGTTATTGTGATCCGAGCATCAGGGAACAGTCTGGATGCATTTTAAGATGGCAATAACACCGTGCTATTTAATAACACCTCAGATGTCTTTTTCCTCAGAGTGGTTGTGAATGAGGAGAGAGTCTGAGAGCATCAGTCTGCTGGTGACTCACAGTGTCTGAATGGAAAGCATAACAAGTGTGTTTAGACACAAAACACAATGTGTGTGTGGGTGATAACACATCCACTGGTTAAAAATCTCAAGTAGAGAGGAGCAGTGATTTATTGGATTATCTTTTTATTTGCAGTGTCTGCGGAAGAAGGCGAGCTCCTAACAAAGGACTGGTTTTCTGGTTTCATAACAGAGTTACAACAGAGTTTACTCTCTTGTAAGGTCACATAAGTGCACAAAATAATTGCCATGTTAAAGGAGCAGTGTGTAGGATTTAGTGGCCTCTAGTGGTGAAGTTGCAAATTGCATATCCCGTCAGCCCTATATTTTTTCAAGTGTGTCGGGGAACTACGGTGGCCTTCAGGTAACGTTGAAACGAAAAAAAGAGCCAGTGTTTGGTTTGTCCGTTCTGGGCTTATTTAGAACGTGGCAGTGCCACATGGCAGACTCCTTGAATAGGACCCACTTTCTATGTAGACATGAACGGACCATTCTAAGCTAACGAATACACAACACTTCTTAGTTTCAGGTCAATATACACTAACAAAATCATAGTTATGAATATATGATACCAGTTCTACAAATAAATCACCTCCTTTAAATAATCCTTAAAGGAACCCTGTGAAGGTTTTGAGTACTCGGGGCACTGCAGAGCAATGCCTTGATGTTCAGGTTCTTGTTTTGTTTGCAGGGGGGGGGGATATTTACTGGCGATCAAAGCACATCAATATATTTTTCCAAACTGTCATGAATACACAAATATTACTCTCAGTAAAAACTACTTACATTTTTACTGCAAATAAAGGTGTCAACCAATCAAGTTGAGTTATTTATGAAACAACAACACAGAGGCTCTGTAGTCCCAACCAAGATGACGAACCTTTCAGCACTGACAGAAACAACGCAGACCAGATCTACTCCCTCTGTTCTTACCTTTCACAATAAAAGCCTAAGATATATAATCCTTACAAGCGAGCATTTTGCTTTTTCGTTAAGGGAAAAATATTTGAAATGAACTGCTTACAACTCAAATTCCCCATTTTCACTACATGTGTCTTGCACGGATTAGCAACAATTAGCCAAGTGTAAAATACTGAGAAGCTCACAAGTCACGTTTTTGAGCTAGATTCCAAGTCAAGTCTCAAGTTTCTTTTGGTTGCAATGAGCTTCATCATCAGCTGCATGCCATCCAGATGTAATTATACTGTCTTTGTCTTCAGACAGCATGAAATAATAATAGCTGACACGTAAAAACAATAAAAACTTGCCCAATTGAAAAAAATTCTGAAGACGTCTCTCCAATTTTTTTCTCGTAGGTTAAATGGTAAAGCTGACTTGTTTTGTGTTTGGTTTGCAACTTCTACTTCCTCTACTCTGTTTACTGGCGGATTACAGGAACTTGTAAAGTGCAGCAAAGCGTAGCGTCAACTTCCTACCTAACGATGCAGTAGCTGAGTTTATTTGCTCCAAACTGGTTGGAAACGCGCATTCATTTTTGCAGACATTTCGAAAGTTAGCTTCAAATTCTCTTGGCAATTCAATGGAAACCTGACTACTGTGCACAAGCTTTTGTTGCATTTATCAGATCCCAGATCAGTTCAACCACTGAATGACGTCTTGGTTAAGGACCCTTTGACAGGCCACAGCCGCCCTTGAGCAGTATTATAATCAGAATTCTTTGTCCATGTGTGAATTGATTCAAAATCATAAGAAATTGATTTAAATTTCACAATGCATCCAACAAGTTTTGTAGAGACCAACGTCTTCCTGTCTCCCTGAATGGGTGTTTCTGGGACTCGTAGTTTACTCCTTATGGAATCGGTAAAAAGCTCAATGTCTGACTTTAAAGTTTAAGTTATCCCCCTCATTAACTGCCTCTCCATCACTTCCTCATTATGTCTGCCTCTCTGCTCTCTGTCATTGCCCCCCCCCCCGTCAGCTCATTGAAATTGTGCGCTTTGCCATTGGGTCTCCCACTGTGTCGGCTAATTCAATGACTCTGAAGCCTCCCCCTCGTCTCTCTGCTGCTGTTAAATCACTGATACAAGCCAACCAGGAATTAGCCAATTACTGAATTACAGCTCCCCAGCATGTCGTTTAGCATTTAGCTCTGCAGTGAAATGGGCTTAAATACGACTGGGAAAGGGGAGAGGAGGGGAGCATCGGAGAGGCAGAGAGCTAGAGAGATGAAGATGTTGCAGTGTAAGCCCTGTCGTATTTATTAAAGGTCAACCTTTTACAGCCGACGTCATCGAAAAATATGCTTGAGCATGTTGGCAACGATAGTGACGTTTTGCTCCGGCCAACCAGACGAGTTAGCGCGCCTTAACCATTGAATAAAAACGGTTCCCAGCGTTTCCTGAGCCTGCAAGCTAATAAACGTGTCGACAACCACTGGACTGTTCATGCTTGTGTTTCAACTCAACAAAGTCAAACCTCTGAGTCTGTGTCATGGTGTTTTTTGAGGTTCTGTACATGACCACATAGTGGTGCACGGGGTAGGGGGTAGGGGGGATTGCTCTGTCTCTACAGTAGTATCTGCAGTATTCTCAGAAGTATTTAATGGCAGTAGTATTGCAGTACCTGGTGTGTATCCTCTGTCCACGGTCAGGCTTGGGAAAGGCATCGGTCTCAGGCTGAACTTGTTGTGAGTGAAGCCGCAGGATGGTGAAGGCAGGATACCAGGGTACTGAGAGGAGTCCAGAGCCGGCACCGGGATGGCACTGACCACCGCTGAAACAGAGGGGCCAAAGTGTCAGTAAATCAGGCTGCAGTGGGACAGACACTGCTGAAACACAGGGGCCAAACAGTCAGTAAACCAGGCTGTAACAGCACACAGCATATATTTCAGTAAAATAAATACCTGATCAAACACGGTGCATGATACAAATCCAGTAAAAGAATCCTGTAAAATACTAAATATTGACATCAATCCGTCCTGCTCATTGACTGTCGACATTATCTAAAATGACAGAGAATTGCTGGGAGGGACACCTCGCTATAAGCATGTACAGAATCAAATCTCTCAGCTCACAGTATAAATCGGTAACCCAGTGAATGCAGCAGAGGATGCAGTCAGAGAAGCAGTCCGACCAGACAGAGTTCACATTGTGACCTTGAGTGGAAACTGCAGGGAGTCAAACTCAGCGAGACTGATTACACTGCCTCAGGTACACAACACACACACACACACACACACACACACACACACACAGAGGGGCCTCTTATCTCCTTAACAGGCTTGAAGAGACAGTGTGTGTGTGTGTGTGTGTGTGCATCTCTCCCGCGCAGCCCATGTTTGAGTCTCTCTCTCGCTGTCTCTTTTCAAACACACATCCTGTCATGCTGGAGGTGCTTTCAATATTGCATTTTACAACGTTAATGAATGTTCACCAGCCAAGACAGAGACACTGGGATTGTTTTTATGGAGTGGAATTAGTCACAAAATGGTCACAAATGCGTATTGCCTGATCTGAAAAAAAAATGTTTGTGCAGAATTTGGAGTGTTGACAAATGAGTTTTCTAATCAACACACAAATACCAAGCAATTGGAACACGTGCAAAATAGTATTACAAATTCTCACATCGCAACATGAATGAATATTGATCTTATAAAGTGCAGATATTTTTACTTCAACTTCAAAAATGTGATGATCTTTTGCCATTCCAAAAGCTTCCTTTGTATAAGTAGAGCTCAAAGGTGGGTGTTGTCTGAGCAAGGGCGCTGGAAGGAGGGGGCTAGGAAGTGGTTTTGTTGCCTATACCTAACTAAGTTGTTTCCATTGAAGATGGAAGTTTATTTTGAAAAGACCGTATGTTAAAGAGGAGTAGCTTTACGTAAGACGTCATGAGAACGTTGTATGATACACAGCATGATGTTGCTTCAGGAGGTCTGGTTGCCATCCTGGACTCACTACTGGACCCTTTGTGGTGAGGTGACCCGTCAACTCCTTCAATTGAATTGTAAGCGACTGACACAGAACACAGAGTGCTCCTCTCCCCCGCTGCTTCCTCTTGAGCCACTCGGTCTGATTCTACTAAACCCTGATCAATACCAGTATTGATTGGAAAGTATTGACAATTTCGAAGCAGCAAGGCTGTGATCAGCACCTTTAGGACGTGTGTGTGTGTGCGTGTGTGTGTGTGTTGTTTACAGTATTCGTGCTGTGATCATTTAAAGAGAAGCAGGGTTTGATTACAGCAGCGGGACGACCAGAGATGAGCAAGTCTGATCAATACCGTTATTGAGTAAGAATATTGATGACTTTGGTGCAGTAAGCTACAGGCTAATGGAGGAGTGTGTGTGTGTGTGAGGAGACAAAAATAGAAACAGAAAGAGAGCGTGATAAGGACATGTTTCTGAATTTGGGAGACACATATCAACAAACACATCTAATGAGGGATAACAAATAAAGAAAGACGAGAGCTGACGATATAATAAACAGAAAACCTAGAAAACATATGATTAAAGAAATGACAAAAGAACAAGCAGAAAGGGTTGGAATTAGATGATAATCAGAAAAGATAAGACAGTAGAAAAACACAGAGACCGAGGATGGAGATAGATAAAAGCTTGATCAAAAGAGAAAACTGTCATTAATGGTTTTAAAACACACAGGAATGATAGAAACAGAGAGACAGAGAGAGAGACAGAGAGAGAGAGGAGACAACGAGACAGCAGACACAAAGAGATGAAAACAGAAGTTAGATAAAGAGATCAGGCATCATAGAGCAGAGATGTGGCAGCAGAGGAAATAAGTAAAGAAGCCTTAAGCTGCTTCCATGGCCGTACGCAGGGTTGAACAAATGCCGAGGTCAACAACTTGACCTTTTCTTGATTTCCCTGATCTAAATATGTGTATTCTAAGATGCTTGGAGAGCAAAAATTGAATAACAATTAGCAGTAATATGTGACAATCAATGCTTTTGATTTAGAAAATACAAAGGTATGAACCTCAGTAACCTCAAAGGTGGATAGAGCCATGGTTCCTTCTGTAGAGACAGAGAGCTACAGAGACAGAATCAGTGCGGACCCTGCAGGCATGTTAAAATGAACACACAATCAACGGAGCCCTCATTATGTGCAAGAGGTTGCAGTTTGGTTCAGAAGAATGCTAATCTATTTTGACTCTTCTTGAGCTTGTATCCTTTCACAACAACCAGGTTTTTTGGACGTCAATGAAGCATACTACCACAAAACAATGGGAGTGTAGTTGATTTACCATAAAAATGCAGTTCTGTGCTAATCTAAGTTTGTCCATTAGCTGTCATCTATAAAAATATATGTGAAACCAAGCCTGGCGTTTCCTTTCTAAATCCAGTTCTTAATTAGTTGTTGCATTCATTTAAAGGAAGTAAAGCTTGTTTGTTCAGATTGATTTAACAACGAGAGATTAAAACAACATCACCATGAATATCTGAAATTAAACGTGAGAGTAGAGAGTGATTAAGACAAAGAAGCAGGTCGTCCGCATGTGGTGGAAATTGATGACCTATAAAAGTTGTTACTAGTGTAGCATACTCCATCATATACCTGAAAGATCTTGATATCTGTTTAAACTACGGTAAATTCCTGTATTCCTGACATTATTTTGTCAGGAAGAACAAAAAGCTGAAGTCATTTTTGAATGAAGTTTTCCTCTATCTACAAAAACGTTGTATCCTCCGCCTTTGCCAACTCCATTGCTACTGTTGCGGCTGTGAAACATTTGATACATTGTTTTAAGCGTCACAACCCCCACAAATTACTTGTTTCACTCATTTTGAAGCCTTAATTTTGGCATTTTGACCGGCGCCATCTTGATTTTTTGGAAGCAGAAGTGACACAAGAAGGTGGAGCTAAGCACAAGAGATTGTTGAATAAGATATTTTTAGGTGACCAAAATGTGACAATTAACTTTCATAAACGGAAAACAGACTGTGAAAGGGTTAAAAGGTGTAGGACGAAAACAAGGACAACTTCCAGACACAGTGGTAACGACCTGTCAATCACAGTTAGCCCCGCCCTAAAGCATACCCTGCTTTATGGTCTGTTTTACTCTAAATGGACCATAGTTTACTAAATGAACATCATGCTGTATTGAAGAAGACTTGAATCTAGAGATTGAGATCATAAACTCATGTTTACAATGTTTACTGAGGTAATAAATCAAGAGAGAAGTAGAGTCATTTTCTCATAGACTTCTATACAACCAGAGGAGTAGGTGGTCCTGGTGGTCAGTAGAGAGAATGCAAAAATACGTTTGTTGTCAATTAAAAAACATGCTACCAATTGTAGATACACTGAGTGATATACGTACGGCCCGTTGTGTTGTATCCATCAGTGCAACAGGAATGGCTTTAAACCCTAAAGAATAACTTCAAAATAGCAAAATCGAAAGTCAGAGCAGCGAAACCACGGAGCCACGGCTCAAGTGGAAGAATGAATGAAGGAGGACACAAGGCTGAATGAAAAAGTCTTCCTCACTGAACTTTGACAAAAAAGGTCAAATCAAATGAAAGTTATGAACGTAACAGAAAGCAAAGCAGAAAGAGAAAAAATAGATCAGAGTAGAGGACGGGTCTGTGTGTCAGCAGAGGAAGCCCGGAGGCTTTTTCCTGTTTTACCGTGACCCACATATCACACACACGTTTATGTAAACACACAGGAGGGCTTTGTCACATGCTGGAACAAATTATCAGTCACCTGCTGACTCACACTCTCCAGAAAAGAACACCCTGCTTTGTAACCTAATTGTCGCTGTTCAGTTCGACAACTGCAGTAAACAACGCGACAGAAGAAGAATAAAAAGGGGAGAGAAAGGAGGACACAAATCCTCACAGACAGACTGAGAGCAGGGTAATTACAGTATGAAAGTTTCAGCACAGAGAGGCACTCGCACATACTCCAAAGAGAGAGGAGGCAGTAATGAGATGATGTGTGGAGAAACCAGCTCATGGATGTGATGCGGTGTTACAGATGTTACACCGACAGGTGGCTCTCTGGATAGATCGATGGATCTCTATTGCCCACAAAGGGAAATTCAGGTCAGTACCATACTTACAGACGACACAATGAATGGAGACGCATATAGCTGTGTTATATGGCAGATTGTCATTCTGTTTCCTTTTTTAATACATATTTAATGAGCTTTGTTGGAGGCAGATTCAAGATAATAAAGTTGATAATAAAGAACTTGGAACTGAAAATTGAGTTGAACTTCAGCTGTCTCTGTCTCTTTCTCACATTTCTTCTTCATCTCTCTCTCTTTCTTTGTATTCCCCCTGCTCGTCCTCCTCCCCTCATTCACTCACCCTCAGATCTTCTCCTTCTCCCCTCTGTCCTCTGAGTTAGTCTGAGTACAGGCTAATTATCTGTGTGGGAAAGTGTGTGTGTGTGTGTGTGTGTGTGTGTGTGTGTGTGTGTGTGTGTG